AGGGTCCTGATAATCCTGCTTCCTATTCCGGTGGATCCGTCGCGGAGCCGTCTCCGCTTGAACTTCTAAAGTTTGGTTTGCCTTTTGCCCTGCCCTTTACGCATGCAATGGCGTAGGATGTTGTAGGCCGCGGGAAGGTCTACATGTCTGTTGACGTGGTTGGGATGAGTGCACCCTGCCTCAAGCGCCAGTCTTTCCGCTTTATACGTGCCTCGGCCTACGATGGTCTCTCCTTGAATATCGAATGTGTGGCCAGTCTGTCCTATATTAATTGCAAGCTGCGAGTTTGGGTCTAGTTCCCGAGCCGTCAGTTTGTGTTCGTGTAGGCGGGTCTGTAGTTTTTGCCTTGTTTCTTCAACATACTTACAGTCCCCATCGTTGCAATGTATTAAGTAGACAACTGCAGAAGTTTCAGAAGGGGGCAGCCTCTCTTTATGTTGCACCACACGACAGCATATTGTTGCCTGAAGTTGATGGCCTCTGCCTACTCCAGCGGGTTGTAAGGCCGTGGAGTGGACATACTCTGACGTCCAAGAGAGCCTCTAGCGTTGCGGACAGCAAGGTTAATCGTTTAACCGTTCAAGAGCTGTTTGGCTCAACGTGGACCCATCAGCCAGAAATCAATCTATGTAATGTCATGTCAAGGGGATTCGGCATGGCAACCTGGACGAAATGATTTTTTTGTGGTACATGTTTATTAAATATTCTTCGAAATCTCAACAACACAAGAGAACTCGAACTCGACCGCCGCTATCGGACAGATTTGTTGCCCTTCAGTCGTTATACCGTCGCTTTTTGTCGAGGACTATCTCTTGTAATCGGGATAGACTTGATTGTGTTATGAAAAATCAGAAGGGAGGAGTACCTTAAAAGTGGGCTCTATTCATATCGCAAGTAAAGTATTGGAACTAAAACGAAGAAAACAGCGTAGCAGAGGTATATAAGCCAGTCAGAGTAATAAGTTAGCATGAAACTAACAGCGCCACTTTGCCTTTTTCTGGAAAAAAAAAATCTAAGTATTATTCCGAGATTATCTAGAATATATTGGAACTCGGTGGCTTGCTGAACTCTGCCACCGATGCAGGAGTTTTTTACTGCCCAATGACAAGGGGTCCGTTCTAAATCGGATCTGACTTACTATCTTACTACGTGTAACATACTACTCTTTCCTGTTGTTATACAGACGCTTACGCGCAGCTGTGATTACCAACTTTGTATTTATTTTTACGACAGCACCAAGTTTGTAATGAAAGGGCCCCTTGGGCCTTAAATACACAATTTATTTATTTATTAGATGTACTCATCGTTGGTTTTCATTTGAGGGCAAAATTAAAACTATTTTTGCCTGCTGCATTATTTAGTTCACGACAAATATGAAAAAAGCTGCTTTCATTCAGTCGATTTCTGTTCGATCTCAAGGTCGGTATTTGGAGTTTTCTCCAGGAGAAACGTTTTCGGCCCATTTGGGTTCCTCTTTTCATAGGTAGCATTATTGAAATTTTTTATACCCATGCAGAATCGTAACTGTGATTAGGGTCTGCAATTAAACTTTTCTTAAATTCCTTTATCGGCGTGCTATCTACACGAAAAATCGTTGAGATTTTTCCATTTATAAATCAATGCCCCACTCCCGTCACTCTTATTTCCACAAGGAACGACTACTCGTTCGCTTCGTTTGCCTACGGGTTAATTGTGACTGGTTTGGATCCCTTTCCTTCCTTCATATTCCTTTCCCAAATATTCTCGCGGCATTAGGTCCTCGCTTTGCATTCCGAAAGTTCAACATGCCTGTCAACACATTTTTCCCAGCTCAACCTCTTCCTGTTTTTATCTTATTAGGTACGCTTCGTGCATGACCTGCTACTTCAAATCCGCCCATTTTTCAGCGTCATGCAGTTACGTGGGAATATGCTGCAGAGCAAACGTTTTAAAATCTACGAGAAGTTCTCCCAAACCCCTCGCGGAGCCGTTCTTCTGGCCACAAATGTCGCCGAACGCGGTCTCGGTCAGTTCCTCGCCGGTTTTCCCTCTGTTGTTATTGTGAAACAAAATACTATTGTGCTTTATTAAGTAGCATCACAATAATTAATCATTTGTTTCGATGTCCAGACTTCCCGGAGGTGCACTGGGTCGTGCAGTACGACTGCCCAAAACAGCTTGACGACTACATACACCGTGTTGGCAGGACCGCGAGAGCAGAACGCATTGGTCGCGCGATTACCTTCCTTCTTCCCTCCGAAATCAAACTGGTTGATTTGCTTGCTCAGCGCAATCTCACTCTGAGGCAACAACAGTAAGTAGTTATCAGCGTGGCGTGGCGTATTTAGATGCTGAGTCCGTTTTTTTCTCGACATCGCTACTCTGTGAAATATTGCATACTTTCTAATGCAGTGTAATGGCCTCTCTGTTGCCGTTTTTCCGCAGGATTCCAGAGTCGCGTATAAAGCCTGTGATCTCCAACCGCGCCCCACTTCTGCTCGCTAGCCAACCGGAGTTGGCGGCTTCCGCGCGTTCAGCCTTCACTGCCTACCTTCGGGATTACTGTTTCACACGCAAGCAGTCCAATGCCTCCAATCGAGCATCGGACATGAGCTTGGTCTTTCAACCCACAGAGTTGCCGATCGCCAAATTTGCTGCCTCACTGGGTAGGTCTGGTGTGAGTCTACGTCTACTTCAATGTTGCACGCAACACAAACAGTTCAGAAAGAGAGAAGATTCGCTCGCGGAAGCAAGGACTTCGACGGCCTGTCGTTTCGGGTTCTCGTTCGAATTCATCATCAGAGACAGTCACAGATAAGGGTAAGAGACGCGCATGGCCTAGCACACAGCAACGATGAGGGGTTGGCGGTGGTGGAAACACGCTAGCTTGTAGGTTGCAACCCACTCGAGGCGATCCGGTCATATTTTCAAGTATAACGAGGCCGAAATCTACGCAAGAGGTGACAACCGGATGAGCCGCGAGCTGCTTGAGTCATGGTTCTCAGTCCATAGTCCATCAATGACCTGCCGAACCCATATTTTGAACCTACTCAAATTAAGCAAATCTGCCAAACCTAATAATTAAGTTAGCCTAGTAGTCATTCTAGTGGATTCTAGGTGATTGCTCAGGAAATCCTGCTTGGGCAGTCAGCTTGCTGTTCCGTATTGGTGGATTCTATACGAGCGGTAAAGTTGGGCGGGTAATATCGACCTAAGCGTGATTAAATTCGTGGGGCGTTTGTAGCTTAGCGGTTAGAGCGTTGGCCTCCAGTAAAGGCCTTTTCTGATACGCGGGTTCAAATCCCGCCGAACGCCTCGAGTTTTTTCACAATTGGGTCGACTCAAAATACCGAGGCTTTGTCTGAGCAGGGAAATTAGTCAAGTAAGCAGGACGCGGACGATTAATAATTTCAATGATAACTAGCCACATTGCCGCGTAATTATCATGCCAACATCCAACCCGGGTGACGAAATCGCGGCAATTAACGGCTCTGATGCGGACTGCCAGGCCACTATTGCATCACGAACGCCGCTTCGCATGTGGTCGCGTGACCACTACGGACTATAAATACCATGCACCTTCTGCCTCTATCATCCTTGTCCGCTATTGTCTCTGAGGATGGGTTTGAGTGAGAGCACGAAAGGTCCGGCTGATGCGTGCTTTGTTTCAGTGATCGAATCTCCTCCTTCTGAACTGCTGCTGCTGCTACTCACCTGTTCACGTCTATCAGCAGCAACACAAAAACATGGCGGGTTCTTGTCTGATGCATTTGTAATCTATTTCCGTTTTGAGGGCTTGCCGTGACACCCGAGATCCCGAAGCTTCT